CCCCCCTTTGAAAAATGGTTCTTAAATGTGACTCTCAATTGTTTCAGCTTAAGTTCTTCTTCACATTGTTTTTACTTACCAGAACAAAAGAGACGAATGGAACTGGTCCAAAACCAAAATAACTGCAGTGCCTCAGGGTACTGCAAGACTTGGAATGAACTAATATGGTCCCAAGACTAGACTATCCAATAAAATGAATATTTGGAAAGCAGGACATGGAAGATATTGGGGTGTCAGGCTGTCAGCAGCTTGTGGGGGATGTTATTTGTAGAAGCTGTGATGTTGTTGTGTTTCTCTGCTCTCTGTTAAAGCTCCAGTAGTCGGGATGAGCCAACAACAAATGCAGGCGAGCAATATGAGGTCACATGAGGCCTTGAGGGAGATCATTGAGATGGCTGTCACTCTGTGATTGCAAGCACGTTAACCTGTGGAACAGAGGGAAGGGTGGGTGGTAATTAATCACCTCATTGGAATAATAACACACTTGATTATTAACAAAACCTGAAAAGAGAGGGCCAAGCAGAGGAAAACAAGACATTGAGTGGGAGAGACAGCGGAGATGAACGAGGGGGAATATGAGTAGTGGGGAAAAGGGTTTGTTCTGGCAGGTAGCTTTGACGAATAGCTCCGTACTGAAGTCTACCTCTTTGAGTATTAATCTACCCAATCATGTCTCCGGATGAGGAATGGAAAAAATGGACAGTAGGAGGTGACTTACTGAGAATCGGCTTGAAGAAGTTGTTGAACGTGCTTTGAAATTTCAGATAAGAATTTGCATACTAAACGCTTAATATTCCATAACACAGTGGGAATATGGGAGTGAAATGCCCCCTTTACCTCAATGCAATCACAAAGATGCACACATTCTTCATGACATTTTGAAATATCATGCAGTAATTTTGGTTTAGTCTATTCAAATGTGGACATTGCTGACATTTTATTCCCAGTGAGGAAAGTAGGCTACCAGTGCTTCTGCGGAATTCATCCATTGTCCATCTTTGCTATTGACACTTTTCTTTAAGCTGCTATGTGGCTTGGGCTGTCAGGGGATCTTTTTTGGACTTTTGGCTTATATAGTTCTCCTGGAAGGTTTGATCTCTTTCCCCCTTTCCTTGTCACAGCATGCAATCAGCCCTAAGCCCTTTTGTGTTCTCCATTCTGAGCTAAGCCTGTTATCCTGTGCAGCTCCTTTACACAAGATCACTACTATATCCCCTTTCTCTGTCTTTCACCCAGTACACGTTCCCTCTTGTTCTTTTGTCCGTCTAGTTCTCTGTGTGTTCTTGTGCTTTGTACACATAGATCCATAAGTAATGATTCTGATTCTGATAATTCTGAAGTTTCTCAGGATGGATTAGTAGGAAGTACTTTATATTTATTTGAACTGTTCTTCGGCATAATCCCCCAAACACCAGAGCAAACTCACAAACAGACGTACAGCAGCCCCTCCCACCCATCTTCCCCCACCACCTCCCCTTCTCTCAAATATAGAGTATATAGCGGCCCAGCCATATTTCTGCTCACCCCTCCCTCAGCACACACCTGCTTTATGGTCATTCAACTGCACACACACACAGACATACACACACACACACACGCTGTTGTTGCATTCTGGAAAAAATGAAAAAAACAAACAAACACCCCCACCAACTGCAAGGTGTCAGTTCAGTGGTGCATTGCAAACTCCTGTATGTCCTCCTAAACTGCAGCCTCTATGTCTCCCAGGGTTTGCTCCTCACATTCATAACACTCTGCTCCATGCCAGGTGGCTGTCTCCACAAGTCCTCTTTCCCATAAATCAGACTGTCTTTGAGTTGATCAATAACAAGTCAATTAGCAGGCGTAGAGAGATGAGGGTCTCAGGGGGTGACTGCTTGTTTGTCAGGCAGACATCTGCAGCTCTGTCCCTGTCTGCCACAGAGTTAGGTGTGGCGTTTACCTTGGAAACATGTGGCTACTTGGCTATCATAAATCTAAATATCAACTATAAATAGGTCTGGAACATCTTGCTACAATCCATCATTTGCTTGTTCTTGGATATATAATGAATCAAGCATTGTGCACCTCGGATCTCTCAGGTGTGTCTGATAGATATGAGCAGGCCTAGAAAACAGCACTTTTGTCGCCAGCTTCGGTCTGCGTAGTGGCTCTTCAACATTTTGCAGTAAGTAGGTGTACTCATCAAACAGAAAGAAAGAGACGGACGAACAAAAACTGCTACTGCTCTCTGAGGTCACACTTGGACATATGCGCCAAATATAAGCTGCAAAGCCTGCCAGTATTCATCCTGCTCCCCTGTTAAGCTGACAAGAGTGGGAGAGACCCAACTGTTGTTTGGTGCCCACTGACTGTGTATCTAATGACTTGGCTGGCAAAGCCAATGCAACAGCAACAGGCTCCTGTGGTGAATACACCAGATTAATCCCCTGGATAATTACAAACAAGAATGATCTTGGGCAAATACTCCCCATACCTGCTGAGAAATTACATCAAATGATGCTGTCTAATTAAAACTCATTTTGAATGGTGACAGACACTGAATATTTGAAAAGATGAATAAAATGTGCTGCTTTGATGCTGACAAGTTATAGGTAAATGAGGTGCTGATCAAAAGAATTTGTGGACAAAAACCATGAAGCACAATGCAGTTTAATGCACAAACAAACAAACCGACAGACAGACAGATCAACACTTGTTGGTTTGGGTGTGTGCAGTTTCTATAAGTCATCATTTGAAGCATTATTTTTAAAATAGTAACCACCACAGTGAGTGAGCACCCACACTCCAATATGACACACACACGTTTGCGCACAAATTGATATTCAACCTAATATGACTCACTTGTGTCACTGGCTTTGTCATTTGGTTTGTCACAGCAGCCCCCATTTGGACTGCTGAGGCAGAAGTCACAAACACTTAGACATGCCAGGGGAAAAGAAAGATGATTAGGATGAAGATTACAACAACAAGTCTTTGTTATTGTTATAGTTCCTCCCGTTTCTTGATTATTCAGATATTTATGCTGTTAAAATCCCCCACCATTATTCAGTTTTGTTTTTAATCTTGACCACTTATCCTGTGATCTGCTACGTCTCTGCACTTTCAGCCTTTTCAAAGGTTTAACAGTATTGCTCTTTCTGTCACAGTGAGGCCACCTGGATGAAGATAGCTAGACATGCAAGTGTGTCTAGCTGAGGATAAGTGTGGTGTGGTAAAAAGTTGTTTGTTTTGGGGGTATGCTGTTGGATTCTCAGCATGCACATGTTACAACTGTTCTTTGGGGTTGACCTTGTTTTTTTTTTCTTTCCTCAGCTGCCTCGATCAGGTGGCAGTGGTTGACTGTTGGGATTCCACCAAAGGATGGGTATAAATATGAGGCCCAATGAGACAGTCAGGAGCATTCCCACTTTATGGAGCCACGACTCCTGGTAACAGAAGCTTCAAGCTGTGACTGGCTCAAACGTATACAGTATATGTAGGGTGTAAGGGCCTAGCTCCAGGGCTTTCCTTGTGCTCCCATGCAGAGAGGAGCCCCCAAGGGAGCTGACGCCAGCTGAGACTGAAAAACAAGGTAAGAGCCCAGCTGACACACATGCACACAGGCTCAGCTGTTTGTCTCAAAGGGGAGTTCAGCATGAGAAGTACACAGAGAGAGAGCTGAGAAAATAAGGAGACTGACAGATTTGAGCCTCCAAGGATGAAAATGTAGTGAGATCATTGAAAGATGGATAGACAGAAGATTCAACTGTGTGAATGCTGTAGGTGTGAAATGGTAAGAGCAAAGATTGAACTATTAGTTTCTAAGATTGTTTGACTGCTTTATTGTCAGAACTGGTAATAGAACCTAGATAGTATGGGAGAAGATGAAATAGGGCCCATCAGTGTAGCACCGTCATTGATCTTACCTGTGCTGTATCATAAGAGCATTTGGCTGCTGAAATTGAACAATCTTGTGTTTGGAATAATTCTTTATGATGTTTATTCAATATGATGGTTTCTCATCTCCTTTTGCATCTGGTTTGGTCAATATCTATGTAATATGTAATAAGTTTGCTGTGTTTCCGATTTTTCCTTGCATTAAAAGTGCCAGTTGGAAGGTTTCAGGGCTCCAGCTCTCCTGCCAGCCAAGAAAACAACTAATATAAATGATTGACAACCTTGCTGGGATAAGGTTTCCCATTTAGCAAACTTGCTGTGTCAAAGAAAAAAAAAAGTCACAGTAGCTTACTGAGTGATGGGCTTGAAGATGAGTGAAATGAGGATTTTGGTGTTGTATCGATCCCCTAGTGCTTGTCTCATGCATTTTACACAAGATCTAAATGCCACTTATGGTATAATACAGCAGTCTAGGTCAAGGTTTGCTCTTCTCTATTCAGTGGGAATTTCAGGTGTTATGAGCATAAATTCAGCAGGAATCAAGTAAAGCTTTTGGATTGTGTCATGGTCTCAATACTGAGAAGACACTACTGGCTCAACCATCCCTGTGAGGATTTTTAACCTTCAAACCTTTTCTCAATATCTATTATCTTATACTACAGATGGCTGAAATTGTTTTTCATGCTTTTGCAGTATATCAAATGACCTCCTCATCTCTTCTCTCCTCTCCTTGCCTCTCCAGCACCTAAGCTCTACATCTCATCATGGCAGCAGAAAGCTTGGAGACAGATGGTCCCAGATCATCCATGCCGCCAGAGCTCCACCATCCCCACTCTGAGTATTCTCAGTGGAAGTTCAAACTCTTCAGGGTGAAGTCCATGGAGAAAGCCCCTCTGCCCAGTGAAACACGGCCTGAGACTTCACCTACGGCAGCTCCAAATATAGAAATAGATCATGCTGCGGGTCCAGGGAGTGTTATGAAATTATGCCTAGGAGGGAAAAGCAAGGAAAATGTGGAGGGCCCTGGCAGGAGAGTAGATGTGAAGCTACAGGAGATGGAAACCCACATGGACCACCTCAGGTAATCAAATTGTTACATTTTGTGAATGATGCTATGTTATATTCATTTGTTTCTAAGGATCTGACACTATTTCCCTGGCTCTTTATAGGGGTTTGTGTCGTGTCTGTGGAATGGTTCTGAGGAAAGTCAAAGGACCAGTGCACGATGTTCATGGAGATCTGGATGAGGTGAGCAAGTGTGCCTTGCGTAAAATGGGCTGCAAGTTCCCAAGCTGGCCAGAAGTCATCCTTAAAGTCTTCAAAGTGGACGTGACAGAGGACACAGAATCTGTCCACCCCCTTTCCTTCTGCCACCGCTGCTGGATGGTTGCCATTCGAGGTGGGGGGGTCTGCAGCTTCACCAGAACAAGAGTGCCTGAGTGGAAACCTCACTCTTCCCTGTGCCACCTCTGCTACCCCAAAAAAACATCATTCCAGAGGACTGGAAGGAAGAGGAGGAAAGTCCTTCCAAGAGCACAGAGCCTGGCAAAAAGGACCAGATGGGACTGCGACGCCATCGCTGTTGGTGAGAGGAGAGTTCTGAGACCATTTGGAGACCGTCATGGTCCTGCTCTCAGGGCCTGGAAGAAGCTCAGCATCCAGAGAGAGCAGTGGGTGAGGAACATTACACGCTGCCAGAAAGATCACCTGAGCACCAAGCTGCTCTCTGAGAAGCTCCCTGTGGACTTTGTTGCATCGTTCACCTGCCTAGTGTGTGACCACCTGCTCTCTGATCCAGTTCAGTCCACCTGTGGGCACCTCTTCTGCCGTAGCTGCATTGTAAAATTTACCCACGTTCTAGGACCTCACTGCCCTGCCTGCAACTCGCCCTGTACACCCGATAATCTCACCTCACCTGCCAAAGTCTTTTCATCTGCCCTCCATTCCCTACCTCTGCTCTGCCCCAGTGAGGGATGTCGTGAGCAAGTGAGGCTGGACTCATTTAAGGCTCACTGTCTGAGCCACGAGCTGAAGGAAAATGAAAACCTGAGTCTGTCAGAACTTGATAACTTCCTACTAACCAATAAAGGGGGAAGACCTCGCCAGCACTTGCTCTCGCTAACCCGTCGTGCCCAGAAGCATCGACTGAGGGATCTGAAGAACCAGGTGAAGGTGTTTGCAGACAAAGAGGAAGGTGGTGATCTGAAGTCTGTGTGTTTGACGCTGTTTCTGCTTGCACTGAGATCTGGGAATGAACACCGTCAGGCAGATGAGCTAGAGGCCATGATGCAAGGTAAGAGGCTATTATAAGGGTTTATGTTCAATCAACACAGCCCTCCGTGGCAAAGAAAGGGGGATACAAACAAATGAAAATCATGATAGTGTTTGCTCATTAATATTTCCACCTACCCCCGAGGAATACAGTCGTCTCATGAATAACAATGAAGAAAAGTCCAATATTCAGGAGACATAAGAAAGCTTTCTGTGATTTTGATTGAAAAGCATTTAATTATTGTCCATTTCTGTCTATTGAACCACTGCTGCTGCACATTCAACCCCTCCCTGATTTTCTCCCACTTTCACTCATCTTGTCTGTCAGTCTCTCATTCTCACACTCCCTTTAATGCACAATAACAACTCTTGTGAAGGGGCTGTTAGAATCAAAACAACATCAGCAGCTCTTGTATCTGCAAATTACACAGACAGCACCATCCTCCTCTCTGGGGAATAGAAGGCAGCTGGTGTCTGTTTTCATCTACAGCCAATACATCACTATTGCCAGCTTCACTGATTCACCCTCTGTCCCCTTATAACATTTGAAATTTAGGAAATATTGGATTTTGTAATCAGCGGCTTGTGGGCTTTTGACAATGAGGCATTCACATTTGGGTGTGAAATTTACGCTTCTGTCTGTCTCATTGTAGAAATTACTCCAAATGTGGGATATCAAATGAGGAAATTTTAGATACTGCAGTATTTTCAAAGCACTAGAAATAGGCTTCTGTGGGTTGGTATTAAATAATTCTCTTCATGTGTCAATCCTTTCTTTTTATGTTGAGACTGTGCCTCTTTCTGTCTCTCTCTGAAACTTTATCTCCTCTCATTTTCTCTCTCTGCAGGCAGAGGCTTTGGGTTGAGTCCTGCTGTGTGCCTGGCCATTCGGGTCAACACATTCCTGAGCTGCAGTCAATATCATAAGATGTATCGGACTGTCAAAGCCACAAGTGGCCGCCAGATCTTTCAGCCCTTGCACACTCTTCGAGCTGCAGAGAAGGAGCTTCTCCCTGGTTTTCACCAGTTTGAATGGCAGCCAGCTCTCAAAAACGTGTCCCCATCCTATAATGTTGGCATTATTAATGGGCTCTCTGGATGGTCTTCATCAGTGGATGACGTCCCAGCTGACACTATCACTCGGCGCTTTCGGTACGATGTGGCACTTGTGTCTGCCTTAAAGGATCTGGAGGAGGACATCATGGAGGGGCTGAGGGAGAGTGGGATGGAAGACAGTGCCTGCACATCAGGTTTTAGTGTCATGATCAAGGAATGTTGCGATGGCATGGGTGATGTCAGCGAGAAGCATGGCGGGGGACCAGTTGTTCCTGAGAAGGCTGTTCGTTTTTCTTTCACTGTTATGTCTGTCTCTGTCCTGGCAGACGATGAGGAGGAGGAGGTTACCATTTTTACCGAGCCAAAGCCAAATTCAGAACTGTCCTGTAAGCCTCTGTGCCTGATGTTTGTGGATGAGTCAGACCATGAGACACTCACAGCTGTCCTGGGGCCCATAGTTGCAGAACGTAACGCAATGAAAGAAAGCAGGCTTATCCTGTCCATGGGTGGTCTGCCTCGATCCTTTCGCTTCCACTTCAGGGGCACGGGATATGATGAGAAGATGGTGCGTGAGATGGAGGGGCTGGAGGCCTCTGGGTCCACGTACGTCTGCACTCTATGTGACTCCAGTCGTGCAGAGGCCTCTCAAAACATGGTGCTGCACTCCATCACCCGCAGTCACGAAGAGAACCTAGAACGCTATGAAATATGGAGAACCAACCCCTTTTCTGAGTCAGTAGATGAGCTGCGTGATAGAGTCAAAGGTGTGTCTGCAAAGCCCTTCTTGGAGACGCAGCCAACGCTAGATGCATTGCACTGTGACATCGGCAATGCTACTGAATTCTACAAGATCTTCCAGGATGAGATCGGAGAGGTGTATAAAAAGGCCAACCCCAGCCGGGAGGAACGGCGCAGCTGGAGGGCGGCCTTAGATAAACAGCTGAGGAAGCAGATGAAGCTTAAACCAGTAATGAGGATGAATGGGAACTACGCCCGCAGACTAATGACCCAGGAGGCTGTGGACGTGGTGTGTGAGCTGGTGCCCTCAGAAGAGAGAAGAGAGGCCCTGAGGGAGCTTATCAAACTCTACCTCCAAATGAAACCTGTGTGGCGTGCCACCTGCCCAGCCAAGGAATGCCCTGACCAGCTATGCCGCTACAGTTTTAACTCTCAGCGCTTTGCTGACCTCCTCTCCACTACCTTCAAATATAGGTACAATGGAAAGATAACAAATTATCTGCACAAGACCCTAGCCCACGTACCTGAAATTATAGAGAGAGACGGATCCATAGGAGCCTGGGCCAGCGAGGGGAATGAGTCAGCAAACAAGCTCTTCAGGCGTTTTCGCAAGATGAATGCACGCCAGTCTAAGACCTTTGAACTGGAGGACGTGCTGAAACACCACTGGCTGTACACGTCCAAGTACTTGCAGAAGTTTATGGAAGCTCACAAGGACTCTGCAAAGGCTCTACAGGCTACCATTGACCCAGTAGAGATCCAGGATGATGATGAAATGTCTTTGGAAGTTCCTGATTTTTGAATTTTCCATAACTATTAACATTTGATTGATTTCTAGAGAATTGTACCATTGGTCAGTTATCTCTACATGGAAGTATTTTGACTTTCCAGAAAGTGAAGTCAGTCTCATTCTGCTTTGGGCAAGAGGCCAAACACATTTTATGTTGTTTTTTGTTTTTATATTTTGGAACTCAGATGCTTGCGTGTTGTTAGATATTACAAACAGATTTTGCTTGAATAGCCAGTGTTTTGCACCTGAACCCATAAATGAAGATTATTTTATGGAAAACAATGCTATTTTACACTTTTGATGTTTGTTTTTCTTTCTTTAAACATTTATTTGACTTTGAATTGCTTTGTTAACTGTTAGTTACTACACCACAAAGATGTGACGGCAGAGGCAACACATTTTTTTTCATACTCCTTTTCCTTTTTTTGGTTTATAAATCGACACCATCTGTGAAAAATGGTGCATTTTATTGTATTGCAAGGATATGACACATTTATGCATTTATATAGAGAGGATATTTATGGAAACAGATGAAAGCGCTGTAAGTCATAGAGAGAAATCGTGTTAAAAAGACCACATTTGTGGCCACTGTATTAATATATCATTTTAGCAGGAGCAAAATGCAATCACAGAGACCCAAATGTTCTTTGTTTCATGAGTGCCCTCTGAAAAAGATGACTTTAGTGCTTTATCGTGGGATCCCTGTGGGGCAGAATAGATGCCAGGTCACTTTGAACCAATTTTTATCTCGTTTACTTTTTGCACAGTGGAGGATAGATGATACTTATTTGAATTCTTCTCATAAAATAAAACATATACTGACCTTTTTGTTGATATCATAAAAATACAGTATGGTCCATTACGGTGCCTAATACCCCATGGACTCTCTAGCAGGCAGGGATTTTTCTTAAGTTCTGTATATAACCTGGCTCTTTTTCTCAGCTGATATATCTTCACAGCTTCAGTCGTCAGGGGAGAGCGATGGGTGAGAGCCAGAGAGACCTGATGTAAACTGAATTGTTGGCAACTTTATTTGTTTGATTGATTGATTATATTGTCTTTTTCTGCCCTCACCATTTTGAATTGTGACAGGCAATTTTGTTTTCTTACTTGATTGAATGTTTGATTTTATTTTACTGTCATAAATGTAACCATATGACAGCTATGAAATATCCACATTTCATTGGATACTTGTCACAGTGCTACCATAACGCCATGTTTTGGAGTGCATTATATAGCAACTTGTCTCATATTTGTTTTTGCCGTAATGAATTGCATTTCCAAAGTAATGGATGATGGATGATTCACAAAATTCTACTTCTGTCATGTTTCACAGTGTATCTCCTCATTTTGGGCTCACATGCATAGACTAAATGTACAGTTTACTGGAACCGCACAATACTTTCTCTGTCCATTCATTTTGCATACACTAAAGTTCCACTACCTACCACTACCTTCAAATTATGTTATGCTGTATTTACTTATTTCTTATGTATTGTCATTGAATCAGACAACTTACCATCCTTTTGTGAAGTTTGTACTTTTTGTCTCTGTTTACATCAGATAATAAATAAAAACTGAAGAATTGTGATTCTTTTCTGCTTAAATTATTATTATTTTTGTATTTAATTTAATTTTGTGTTAGTAACACAGAATTCAGCTGTAAAGTGTTAATAAAAAAACAAAACAAAATAACAATGATCTTTTAGAAAACATTACAACAAACTAGATGCAGACCTGAATGCAGAGAATATGGAAGCACTTTAAAAACTAAAGAAATTCAGTTGATTCAATATCTATATATAGCTTAGACCATTTAACTGTTCACAGTTCTGATTACGTATTGTTTATCAATATCATATTTATGCTCATGTTTATATAACTCTGAAATCAATTTAGTATACTTACTTAATACCTACTTAATACTGAAAGCTGGAGTTAGTAGTCAGTATATTCCTCAAGAGAATGACAAATAACTGAAACTCACATATAACTGGATCATTTGATATAAAATGTACCAGGACAACAGTTCACATTTGATCCCTCAAAATTAGCTAGTATGCTTTGTACAGTAACTTTGTGTGTTTAATAAGATATTTAAAATTTTTACCTTCATACTATGAATATTTTCAGAGTTACAGGGCCTTAAAGTACCAAAAGGTGGGCTAAAATTTTGAGCTTTTTAATTCCCATTATGTTTTCTATAATTGATAAGACCTTGTAAACCTGTCAAGTACAAGAATTCGGATTGAGAAACATTAAATTGGTACAATAGCTCAAATATGCTGGAGAATATAATGCAGTAATTCAAAAAATAATAAGTAAAATTTTAGACTCATACCTCCATAGTGTGACTACCTGTAACTGTGAAAATTTGCATGCCTTCATTAAACATGCTAAATTTATTGTATAGGAAATTTAAAACAGGGTCATTAATAACAGCATCAGGTGGGAGACACTGACTGTTTTAAACTGATAGGCTAATTAGAGTATGTCTTTTTAAGATAACAATACACCACTGTGAGGACACAAAATTACAGACTGAAAATCACAAATTTTATTAAGGATTTATCAGTTTTATTGTACAAAACACTGCAATAACAATTCAGTTCCATCTGCACTTTGAAGAAAGTGGGTCTGTGGTACTTAAAACGTACGTATGAAAGAAAGAAAGAAACAAAATGAACCTTTTCACAGCTGATAAAGAGTAAAACTGCATTTTTGTTGCACAATGTGAAATCACAACAGAAACATTCAATAATAAAAGGAAATGTTGCAAATCTTCACAAACTGTAAACTGTTAATTTAACTCAAAATAAATCAAGTAGGTGTGAGTGTTTGTCTGTTAGTTCAATAGTCATGTGATCTAACTTAAACTTGGCTTGTGACTTGATTACGTTCAGTGAGCACTTCAAGGTAGTTTGAGGGATTTTCTCGATTTGGTTTATTAGATTACTGTTAGGGTGGAAAAAACATCCTAAGCATACAAAGTTTTCTTAACAGGCACACATCATATGAAAATCTGAGTCAGTCAAACAGCCGTCTGAAAAAGCTTTTTTTGGCAGGGGACATCTTGATTGTCAGAGGTCTTTTTTTGTCTTTAGCTTTCATGGTGATGCGCTTCAGGGGTATGATATGTCGAGGTGGGGTCATCTCCTGGTAGGGCAGGCCTCCGTGGTCCAAGCAGAAGTACTTCTTGTTGCCTTGAGAGAGTTTCAGCAGCAGGGTCTCAGACAGCTCCATGCACTTGGCGTGCACCCAGTGGCCCCCTTCCCCTCTGGAGCAAAAGATCATGGCTGGTCGGTGGAGCTCTGTGGAGTAGTATGGCTCCCATGTGTTGGGATCCAACTGACAGCCAAGGCAGCATTTTATCCAGTAACCTGTTTGTGATTCATCCTCTTCATCCTCTTCATTGTAAGCCTCCCCTTCTCCGTCGCTGCTGCCATCCAACTCATGTGGTTCACGGCCGAAGTAGAGCTCCTCAGAATCTTCAAGAGGAGTGGAGTCATCATAATCCGTTGACTCCTGGCTGCAGGCAAGGGTTCCATCTTCCTCTCTGGTCTCTCCCTCTGTCTGGAAGTTCACCTGGTAGAAGTAATGCATATCTTGTTGGGATGGCCTTCCCTCTGTGGGCACAGCTAGTAGGATGCCTCCCTCTCCAGAGCTGCCACCAAACCAAGTGCGACTATGGATGATATCTGGGGTCCACTTGGGTGTTTCTACGGGGTCAAAGTGGATTCCTTTCTCATCTAGAATCACAGTAGTGCACTCCATCCGCTTTTGTGAGTCTGACTGATATCCACCTAAGATGATGTATCTATGAGTGGGCCCCATACGTGTAAAGATGGCACTAGAGATAGATAAACCATTGTCTAGGGTTTCACAGGAAAGCAACGGGCTGCCCTGCAAAAGCTCAACATGCAGGCGAAACAGACGCGGTGGACGTGAGTCTGAGGCTAGTGAGTGGCCTCCAATGAAGTAGACACAGTCTTCTCTAGCAAGGGCCAGATGGAAAGACTGTCCATCACTAAGCTCAGGTAAAGTGTGAGAAGAGCAGCAGCCAAACTCCAGGTCAAAGAGGAACACCCGAGGTGGACAGTCTACAACACTGTTCCAGCTCTCTGTGGTCCTTTCTCCTGAGGGCATGTAGGACCTACCCCCAAACAACACACAAGCTGTCTTCCCACGACTTTGGACCATGCTCATTGTGTGGCCATATCGAGGTCCTGGCACTTCTGCCACTAGCTCTTTCTCTTTGCAGCAGAGCGTTAATTTACGATTGCAGCCACGACTATCCATGGTCAACAGGTACAAGCTTGATGAGATCTCATTATTTGGAGTGCGACCACCGTGGATGAGGTAACTCTCTGGAAGCCCATCATAGGGTTCGAGCCGGCAAACAGCTGGGCAGCGTAATGGGGGCAGGTAGCACGAGTCATTAGAGAACGAGATGGCTCTCAGCTTCATCTCGCCATGTTTAAACCGTACACCAAATACTCCTGTTGGACACGAGCGCTTAGGCCAACCCTTCTGGCCAAACAGCAGAACTTCACCATCCAGCTGCAGCAGAGAGCAGCCGGGCTGCAGAAGGCCTGCACAGTTCACTGGAGTTAATGGCTGCAGGGTCATTTTCTGGCAGGTGTCTGTGTCAAAACAGCAATGAAACACACAAACACAATGTGTAAGTCAGCTGTTGTTTGTGTTCATTCAGATGGTTGTAATTGTTCTTCCTGTTTATGAAAGTAACGTGTAGACGAGCACAGCTTAGGTAATCATAATATGCACTACAGGCACTAAAATGTAGCATAGGGTCAATTATTTAGCCTTTTTACAAAAATCATGGTATATTTAATAGCTACCAACACTTAAATAGTGACCAGATACATAAAACAAAAGATATTATTGGAGTAATAATTATAAAAGATAAGTTGTAAGAGGACTCATAATATCAGTATTATACAGTTGCAGTGTAAATTATTACCATTAAAAGTGCTACTACATTTGATGTCTTCCAAGCCACTACCAATTTTAGCTTGCAAACTAAAGCGGCACTGCATTTTCTACAATCCTTTAACCATCTGCAAAAAATAGTAAAGAAAAAAAAATTCCTCACGCATCAAGTTCACATTTAAGTTTGAAAAAGTGAGAAGGTGATTTACTGAGAATGTTTCTAAGAATCTTTTTAAAGTGTTGTCTGTAGTGTGAACATGATGAGCAAAGAGACCTTGAGTTTGGCATTGCAAGAGCACAGCTTTACTCAAAGAGAGAGGGAACTTGTTATTCTTCCATTAATGTAGAATGGATTTTAGTTTGCTTACCTTTGAGCCAGTAGCAGGATGCAGTGCTTGAATTTTCAGTGAATCTTATGATCACCAAGATGAAGTTAAAGTACTCTTTATGTAGCTGAACCTTGACAAAGGCAGACAGTGGTAGCGTTTGTGAAGCTTCGTTGACTCACAGACACTTCCAGATCTTGAGGTTAACAGTCTGTGACTGCTGCACACTGGCAGGTGTGATGCCTGAATGCTTTTAGTGAGACACTTCAGTGATATCAATGTAAAATCACCTTTGCAAAACCTTGGAAAATGCATAACTGTCTGCTATATGCAATTTGTGTCGCTTTCTTAATACATTTTTCACATTTTAGATCCAAAAGAATGGGGAACTCCTTCATTTGCTCTTTTTTTCACCATTTTCTTTAAGGAGATTTTTACACTAATTAAGAAGTTGTGTTGCAAACCTTGCTTTAATTAAGTGATAAAGACAAGATAAATCTTTAAACCTAGAATGGGCAACCTGACCTATACTGAGGAAATAAATGAATAAATAAATAAATAAATTAGATTTGCTCTCCACTAGCTGGAAAACAAGCAGCATTACATGTTTGAATTTTACTATCTTGACAAGACACGCCTCATTTTTTTTTCTTTTTTAATTTGGAGGATCGAAGTAGGCATCGCAAATATATGGAAAACCACTACATGTGTGCCATCTGTGGTGTAACATCTGTGACACACCCATCTGAGAAGAGACTCCCTAAAGAAACACACTGACCGACATGTGAAATAAAAGTTTAAATAACACAGTTTGAAATAATAGAGCTCACCACCATGTTATCTTAATTACTGTAATTACTGAAGCAGATGCAAGCATTCAGTTAATTGCATTTAGACAAATCAAAAGTTTATTAATATGCTTCCAAGATTAACTAGGAAATTAATCCAGGAAATTGCAGATTACTTAAAATTTTATGATTATTGAACTGTGCAGTCCTAAAATAACGTATTACAATAACCAAAGTAGTTGAAATAGTCAGATAGTTAACTTGACATACGTGACTGAAAATAGCAGTTTTCTCACTTGTTTGTTCTACCAAAGCTTGAAAAACAGATCAAAGAACACTGTTAAACCCTTTACTTATTTATTATTTCAACTACAGAGAAGGTTGCTTAAAAAATGTTGTTGGCAGATATGTGTGCTTTTGTTACACTGGTATAGCATTTACAGCTCGACAACCAACATAATTAAAGCTTGTCCACTGTGTTTTTCTTACACTTGTTACACACCAAACCTCTTAATTTTGTTATGGCAAACCTTATTTACTACA